GCCCATACATATTATACTGTGCAGTACTATATATTCCACACAGTGCTACATTTTCCTACCATGCGGTTATTGGAAGTTGTAGCACTGGCGGCGCCTTTGATCCGCCCACGCACCATACTACAAGTACATGTACTTATCTTAGCTTATACAAGACAGCATGTACAGTACTGTAATTCCTTTCACTCTAAATTTTAAGTTTTTATAAATTTTCACTCTAAATTTTAAGTTACAGCCATTTTCAAAAACAAGCCAATTTTCAGAAAAATCTAAAGATGATACATGTACAGGTACATGTAGTATAACACCTAATTACTCCACCCATCTCATAATTGCACCCCCAAAAATGAAATCCTAGATCCACCCCTGACAAGAAATATGTATACATTGTACATGTACATATACACATGTAGTTAGAGTGTAGACTGACCTATGAATAATAAACCCACCATATAATCATTAATGTACATGTACATGTTCATAGTAAAGTGCTGTACATGTATATGCATAAAATCATCAAAAGTTCACAAAGAAATAAAGCTGCCATAAAAAGCTGTACAAAATACAAGTGATTTAAAGAGGAGGACATTACAATTAATACAGTATAGACCTACCATCTTCATCATAATTGCTCATGGTGTCATCAATCCTGTTAGAAAACTCTAGCAGGTTCCAAGTGTCTTTGGGTATTGCCAGCTCTTTTATAATGAGACTGAGAGAGGGAGAAAGGGAGAGAGATGAAATGTAACCTTTACAAGTAATTACAAGTATTGTTTACTCTTAAAAATTCACACCACAAGTCCAAAAATTTGAAACGACCAGTAAAAATAAGATTCCAGTAGGCAATGGCCATCTCAAGATCTGTAGAGAAATAAAAAGTACAAAAGATTTTAATCAATTCATACAATATACATTAAATTATACATGTACATGTACTCTCAAATTTTAGTAGCATCACTTGCAAAATTCCCCCATCAACACGTGTAGATTGAAATCATTGTGTGAAACATGATCTTAATATAGATGTACATGTATTTATAGTATGTCACTAGCCTAGTCCTTTCTGCCTCAGGTTTTTGGCAACATTAAACGTAAACTGGTAGAAATCCTTGAACTGTTGTGAGTCCTGTATCTCTCAATTAATGGTCTCACACCTTTTATGGAGTTTATTGATGGAATCACACCTAAAAGAGGGAGAGGGGGGAGAGAGAGAGAGAGAGAGAGAGAGAGAGAGAGACAAAGAGAAAGAATTATACATTTATTTGTAAAGACAATGTGAATTATGTTTTCATGCTTAAAACAAAACTCATGAAATACAGTGAAAAGAACATGTACAACATAATAGGAGAATGTTCATGTGCAATGAATGAGTCCATCAATACACACACTGCATGTACTGTACCTTACAAACGGAGAAGAGATCCTTCAAAAACCATCAACTGCTTCATCAAAGTAAGTATCACCTAAACACTAGTAATATGTACTAGCACAATGAGGATACAGTAACTGACCATTGGGATCAAACTCCCATATCTCTGAAATGACTTGCATGAATAGGAAGAATTACAATGAGGCTGATTTAAAAACAATCTACAGACATGTAAAATTGTAATTGTATATGTACATGTACATGCAAAATAATAATGTCAATGAATTATAATGTCATGCATCAAACAGGTCTACAAAAGTAACAGTGTGTAATGTACATATGTACATAACACAAAAACAATCATAACTATTAATGAACCTCTCACCCTCAGTCACCATGCACTCCACTCTTGACAGTTTCCCTTTTAGTCCACAATCCACTGACTCTCAACAGCATACCAGCAAACAATAGCTTAATTGATATGTACACTCCTTTATCAATCTGTGAGTCAATAAGAGTTAAGAGAATACATGTACAGTATATACCAGTGAATTGGTAAACCTCCACATGTATATTATAGTCATACATATACATACAATTGAGCCAATAAATATTACACTTGCACACTGTACATGTAGCAACATTTACATGTAAATGCAATAAACATAAATGTACATGTACTCCATGCTGATACTATACATGTACATGTATACTGTACACTGTTTGTTATCAACCGTAGAATATTAAAACTTATTAATTCATTTAGGTTTCAGTATACCAAATTTTAAGAATGTATTGATTATATTAAATAAAATAACAGCTATAGATTTAAATTTATAAAGATACTGTTATATTCTCATTTATAATTTTTCCAATATTGACTCATTGATTCATTATGGTATCATTGTATCACACATACTTGTACATGCACTGCTAGAGTTCATTCAACCAAATCAAGTGTCACTTCATCTTTATCCACTCTCCTAATACACACTTCCCTAAGTCCACTGAGATTGATGGCATGAGTTACCTCTCCACTGATACTAAGAGGACCACCTAAAAATAAAAGGACACTTGATTTGGCACAATTTTTAAGCAACTTTAAAAATTTGTAAAAAAAATCCAAATATGATCAGAATAAGCTCAAACTTTCTACACAACAAAATAGAGAATTATAAAATTATAAAAATAGAGAATTCCCTCTTTGTGATTTTTTGGCTAAATACCCTGTACTAAAGTACCGGAACAAGAGCCTGAGGATGCATGAGGACTACGCCAATATCCTGTGGAAAACCATCATAAAATGGCAGATCAAATTAAGCAATATTCAGGCACAATGTCTAAACATTGTTTGAATGTAATTCAGGCTCAGCATGCACACGTTATAAAATGAAAAAAATCACAAACAAAAAAACCCATAATTTGACACACTTCAAAAAATCTAAAAAAAGGAAAAACTAATCTCACCTTTAGCCTGTACATCTGCAGGAATCTTACTCACTTCCAGTAAAAGATTTCCATTACAATTAATACAATTAGCCTCTTCAGTAATTACTATACCACTAGGTCTTCTTCTACAATGTATAAACATGTCACAGCATTTTATAAACTATGATACGTACCACAAAAATTTCTAGGATGAGTTTTAGCTTTAAAACTTTAGTTTCTGATTAGTATTTGCTGGACAGAAAATCCGCCATTTTTAATTACTGCACTTTTCACCACGCCTACATAGCATCATAAAATTAACTCTTTGTTTATTCAATTTAACTTTAGCTTTTTCAAGTTTTTTGGTGGACGAGACTAGGTTTTTTCCCGGCTACTCTTTTCTGCTCCTTTCTTCCTGCTGTCGTAAGGAATAGTAGCTCCAAGAGTGATACGTTTTATCCAGCCAGACATGGAAGCGTTAGCCACGCTCAAAAAAACCTCTACAATCCTTTCATGGCCGGAGCCTGACTCCCACCAGCCTCAGCCATGACTAGTGACCTCTCCTGTAACCTACCAAACGAGGTAACTGTAATTTAATTTCATCATTTTATCGTGCCAAGGAATATATACATGAATGTGTAAGGAGGATTTACCATTGTTGAAGGGTTGCCAGCAAGGGGACCCAATAGAAGGTCTTGTTGCCATTGCGGGGTATGATAGAAAGCACTCAGAATGGAGGTTGATAATGGCATACCAAATAGCTAGTAATCTTTTGCAAGTTCAGGTTGTGAAACCTATTGGCCATATATAACCAGCCATTTTGGACTATTATGTGTATGGCAGTATGCTCAAATTAAAACCTACCAATCACTAATAACTTAGCACCCCTCTACAACCACCAGCCATACAGTATTATGATTGAAGTACTGAGGCACTGTTATTAATGTTAATTTGTAGGCGACTCCACCAGTTGAGGCAGTTATTCTTGTTCTCTCCTTCATCTGGTCTCTACTCTTGTCCTCTTCCTATGACTGATGGAGGAGCTAGACTAATTGAAGTGAGCAGACATTACACACAAATGCACATTATACTTAATGCATTACATACACATTTACATTTACATGTACATGTACTTACTGATTCTCTGGTGCTACTTCTTGTTATTGATTGCTTTTTTATAGCAACAGCCAAATTTTGCCAAAAATTTCAAGCAGAGAATTCTTAATTTTTTATAACATTTTCTGATACATATGTATGTTTTTATGTTGTGTAAAAAGTTCAAGCCGATTTTGATCAAATTTGAATTTTTTACAAATTTTTAAAGTTGCTCAAAAATTGGGTCAATGTCCCTGTACTATAGTACAGGGGCGTCAGCCAAATTTTGCCAAAAATGTCAATTAGAGAATTCTCAATTTTTATAACATTTTCTGATACATATAAAAGTTCTTATGTTGTGTAGAAAGTTTGAGCTGAATCCGATCAAATTTGGATTTTATGTGAATTTTTAAGTTGCTCAAAATTTGGGTCAAAGTCCCTGTACTGTAGTACAGGGTCGTTAGCTCAATTTTGCCGAAATTAAAAAGTAGAGAATTATCAGTTTTTTAATATTTACTGATACATATGCTTGTCCTTATGTTGTGTAAAGTTTGAGTTGATTCCGATTAAATTTGGATTTTTAATGAATTTTTAAAGTTGTTCAAAAAGCCATGTGCTGGAAAACCTCAAATATAGCCAAACACCCAAATGGATCTAAAATGCTAAATTAATGCACACAATTAAAAGTGAACTTGAGACATTTTTATTCATTTTATTTCTTTGTAATAATTGTGTACCTTATTGTATTGATAATATTGTATCCTCTTAAGGCCCCCATGTAACAGACGCTCCAACTATCTGTTAACCAAACTTTATTCTTAATCAACCCGAAACTCAACTGAGCTCAAAAACCAACTAACAAAAACAAAAACTAAAACTAAAACTAACTCACAACTAACTAACAACACACTTATAT